CAACGCCTGGCTAGATTCTAAGGCTTTTGCATTAGAAGTAGAATATCACATTTTAAATAAGCCAGGTAACAATTTCCAGAATCATTTATATGTGATCTTAGAGAGTAAAAACTATCATAGAGGCTCAGACATAGAGACAGATGTGACTGTTTCAAGTACTGGTTCACCACTTCCTAAGTAGATGGTTTTGTGACTATCATTTTTGTCTTCTGAATTTAGGTTTTTTCAGCATTAAGTAGGGATAATCACCTATGAAGGGCTGTTAGGATAATTAAGTGAGCTGATATGCACACAAAGTTCCTAGTATAACTTTTAACACATTAAAGTATCCAGTAAATGGCAGTTGATGTCATTAATATTCAATATATAGTATATGTGTACCCTTTTTTTTTTTTCCAGTTTTTGGCCGGGGTTGGGTTTGAACCTGCCACCTCTGGTATATGGGGCCAATGCCCTACTCCTTTGAGCCACAGGTGCTGCCCTGTATACGTACTTTTTAAGTTAGTTTCATATGTATCAACAGCACTGAGAGATAATGTAAGTAATGGACAATGGACTGGTAAGTAATGGTTGTTGATTAATGATTGATGTATACAAAGTTCAAATAACTGTATAAATAGCAAGAGGGTGCCAGTATCCACTTAGATTTATAAGCTACCTTGGCATGTCCTTGGAATCACAAAAATGTGTTTATGGAAGTCATCCTGTTGATCCTGATTTCCTATATTAGATCTCCCCTGCACAATGTGGAGTCTAATGATCTGGGCCTGAATATTCACCCTTCTAGTTCCTTTCTGTGGTGCTGAAGTGTGCCAGAGAAGGACTTTTTGTAAGACATTTTCCTGATATGTGTGCTCTGGCAAGAGTTGCTGTATAATCTCATCCATGAGTTCTGTTAACACCAGCAAAATAAGAACCACATTTTTCAGGCCTTAAGTTTCCTTATTTCTACAATGAGGATATTATACTCTTCTTTATGAGCAGGTTGGTTCACAATCCCTTCTTCTCATTCAGGGTGAAACAACTGTAATGATACTGTGTGGAGGTGTGTGTTTGTAAATGTGCTAGATTTATATGAGAATTTCAAACTAGGGTGGAATGAATTCCATGCATGTGAATGTGGGGGTTATGGTCAACTCTGGCTTTTCATGCCTTCTTTCTTTTCCAGGAGATCTTTCCAGGGACCCACCCTGTCTTCATGAAGAAAAGATAGAGGCAGAAAAGAAGATGGCCAATTGCCTGACAAATTGTTATCAGGTATGCAGAAAGATTATTCTTAGAGAAAATCACATAGTTGCATCACCAGGTAGACACATTTCCTTCTAGGCAGACTTGTTTCCAAAGCTTCATAAAGTAAATAGACTCCCTCAAGGGCTGAGTCACTCACTGAATTTTCCCAGAGAGTGGACGCTCTCATATTGGAGAAGAATTACCTGAAAAACCTTTCAGTAATTACTAATTCACATTGTCCTTCATGCTGCTAAACATATGTTTCTTACTGTGCTGAGTGCATGTCAGAAGATAAGAAAGTTGAAAGTATCTTTTGCTCAAAGGCTTTAATCATTAATCACCATTTACCAACTGTATGGAGTATTCTCTGGAATGTGCTTTTAATAGAGGAAAATAAGACAAGAAAGCACTTGAAGTCTGGCTATGGTGAGATAAGTTCACATTTGAGATTGGAGTTGTTGAGTAGTGAATGAGTGAGGATAAAGAGGAGAATGCCTGAGACTGGTAAACCTTTGATAGATAAGGAAAAACCTAAGACTCTGTATTGACACATTGGGTTCTGTTACCTCATTCTCCACTGAATAGTGCTTGATGTTACTTGACCCAAGCAGTCATGTATGTGATGATTTAGGACTCAGTGACCTTTAATGACGTGGCTGTGGACTTCACCCAAGAAGAGTGGGTTTTATTGGCTCAAACTCAGAAAATCCTACACAAAGATGTGATGCTGGAGAACTACAAGAACCTGGCAACAGTAGGTAAGACTGGTATCATTCTTTGTATGTAGTCTGCTATGAACAGATTATGTTACATATTTAGTGTTGCAGGATTAGTGATATCAATTCTGAATGCAATGGGAAATAACACATAGTATAGTCCCTGCCCTAATAGGTTTTAATTACTTTTATGATGTTTAAAATATGGTCCCATATCAGTAGTATCACTGTTACTATTTTAGAAATGTACATTCCTTAGCTGGGCAGTGTGGCTCATGCCTGTAATCCTAGCAGTCTGGGAGGCCAAGGAGGGTGGATTGCTTGAGTTCAAGACCAGCCTGAGCAAGAATGAGACGCCCATCTCTACTAAAAATAGAAAAATTAGCTGGGCATTGTGGCGGATGCCTGTGGTTGTAGCTACATGGGAGGCTGAGACAAGAGTATTGCTTGAACCCAGGAGTTTGAGGTTGCAGTGAGCTATGATGATGTCATAGCACTCCAGCCCAGGGTAACAGAGTAATAAGACTCTGTCTCAAAAAAAAATGAAAGAAAGAAATGTACATTCCTTTGTCTTCCCCTGTGACTTACTGAATCAGAACTTCTACAGTTGGACCCTTTTGTCTGTGTTTTAACTCTCTCCGCAAGAATTAGATGTACAATAATATATACGAATCTTTGGTGTAGTTGTTTCCTCATGTGAACAAAGATCTCTTTGTTTCACTTACTTTATCTCTTATGTGTTTAAAGTGTTGGTGCTTGGTAAATGTGTACATAACCATCAATTTGGATTTCAGGGGTCAGAGATAACCAATTTTGTTTGGGTGCACAGAATGAAGTGATACTTGTTGCTTATTTTACTGCTTTCATTAGAATTACTAGATAATAATTAGATTCGTTCCTGAATCATAGGAAGGTTTATCTTCTCTTGCTTGAGCCTCTTCCATTAATCTGTTCTTCTTTGTGTAAAGGATATCAACTCATCAAACCCAGTCTCATCTCTTGGTTGGAACAAGAAGAAGAGTTGAGGACAGTGCAGGGAGGAGATCTCCAAGGTGAGTGTTCACAAACAATAACCCTGGTCAGTGAGAAATTAAGTATGTTTGGAAGCATAATGAGGAATTCCTTTAGATTCACTTCATTTTGAAAGGTTGAGGCCTTGTTTCTCAGAAGTTAGGGTATGTTTAAATTTCTGATACTCTAAATTTCCATCTATTCCAACTTTCTTTGATTTCATGAAATGACATAATTTATTTTCAAGTTCATTGTTTTGAACTGTGCTCTTGGTACAGATCTTTCTTACTTTCCTTTTCTGATAATATTCTGTTTACAATCAGTTTTCAATTTCAGAAAATCAATTTGTAATAAATTATCTAAGATTTTGACCCTTCATTCTTATCATTGCCAGATTTTCGACATACTAAATCTTCAAGCTTAGCTTTTTTTCCCATTTATTTAAAAACAAATACAAATGAGAGTTAACATTTCTTTCTGCCAACCTAAGTTTTTTTGTTTGTTTGTTTGTTTTTTTTGGGTTTAATTTCAGACTGGGAAATACTACTTAAAACCAATGTTTCGGCAGTACAGCAGGATTTTTGGATGGTACAAACTTCTAATGGGATACAAACAGTAAGATACAAAGGGTATTTCTTACTTTAGAATTCACATGTATTAGGACTTCCATTATTAAAAATAAGCACAAAAGAGAGATATTTGACAGAAAGAGCATTCACACAAGAGGGAGCAATGTCTGTGGAGAGTTATTCTGATAGAAGTGAATTTAGGAATATCCAAACTTAGTGTGAAACTTGCATCCTTCTAAAAAATGGTATAGGCCAGACATGGTGGCTCACACCTGTAATCCTAGCACTCTGGGAGGCCGAGGCTGGTGGATTGCTTGAACTCAGGAGTTTGAGACTAGAGCAAGACCCTGCCTCTACTTTCTAAAAATAGAAAAACTGAGGCAAGAGGATCGCTTGAGCCTAAGAGCTTGAGGTTGCTGTGAGTGATGATGCCACAGCACTCTCAAGGCACCAGAGCGAGACTGTCTCCCCCCCAAAATAAATAAATAAATAAATAAAAAAGGTACAATTATACTGACAAGTAGGATACATTTTCTTGTAGGTAGATCTGTTTCTAGCTTCCTTTAAAGCAAATAAAGACCCTGATTGAATTTCCCCCTAAAGCAGTGGTTCTCAACCTTCCTAATGCTACAACCCTTTAATACATTCCAACTTATTTATAATGAGCATTTATCAGGTGTTTATTATATGCTGCTGGAGTGTGTTGCAGTAGCAAGGATTAAAACGAGACAAGCTCCCAGTCATGTGTAAGAGAAGCTATTTTAGCCATGTTATTGACAGACACTGACAGTGAATGAATATAGATAGAAGAGTTCCTAATACCAGCAAATAAAGACCCTGATTGAATTTCCCCCTAAAGCAGTGGTTCTCAACCTTCCAAATGCTGCAACCCTTTAATACATTCCAACTTATTTATAATGAGCATTTATCAGGTGTTTACTATATGCTGCTGGAGTGTGTTGCAGTAGCAAGGATTAAAATGAGACAAGCTCCCAGTCCAGTTGTGGTGAGATTAGTTCATGTGTAAGAGAAGCTATTTTAGCCATGTTATTGACAGACACTGACAGTGAGTGAATGTAGATAGAAGAGTTCCTAATACCAGTGAGCCTGGGATTTGACAATGTGAGATAATCCAGATTTGCACTTTGAGCACTTTTCACTGTTTTAATTATTATTAATATATAAGTACTGTCCTTCAGTACCCTGTATAGGCTCTGTCCCCATTCCTCATTCTCTGGTGAACACTGGTGATGTTACTTGGCTCAAACTAGGATATGTATTATGGTTTAGGATCTGGTAACCTTTGACAGTGTGGCTGTGGAGTTCACCCAGGAGGAGTGGACTTTATTGGACACAACTCAGAGAAACCTATACAGAGATGTGATGTTAGAGAACTACAAGAACCTATCCTCAGTAGGTAAGACTGGCATCATTGCTTGTAGCTGCCTATGAAATGGATATGTATTATGTACTTACTGTGCCTCAGGATTAGTGATGTCAAATAACAGAGGCATTGTCCCTGTATCGGTGGGTTTTAATCTGGCATGATAGTCTTCAAATGTGATCCTAGGATCAATAGCATCGCCATTACTTCATTAGAAATGTGTGTTCTCAGAGTCCATATTTGATGTCTGCTTTTTGGGTCTTGATGTCTGTGTTGTAACAACCCCTCCATATAACTCTGATCTACCCCAAAGCTGAGAATCAGTGGTGTAGTAGTGGTAGTTTTCTCAGAATCAAGATTTCTTTTTGCAATACCCTTATTTTCTACTTGAGTAAAAGTCTTAGGGTTTTTTAAAATGTGCATTTAAGCCTGCATGTGAGCTTCTGGGGTCAGAGATAACTTTGAATTCCCTTTTGAATTCAGAAAGAAGAAATATTTGGATTTTGAGTCCTCCTTTCATGGTAAAGTTTGCCATCTCTTGTATGAGGCTCTTCCATTAATGTATCTTTCCCTGGGTTGCAGGTTACCAACTTTTTAAACCTAGTCTGATCTCTCAGTTGGAAGAAGAGTTTAGGACAGTCCAGAGAAGCATTTTTCAAGGTAAGTATTTGTGAAGACTCCCTAGTCAATTAAGATGTACTTTGAATTAGAAGACTGTGTCCATTGAACTCAAATGTTTTGGGGAAATTTTTAGGTTTTCATATTCCATTACTTTGTGTCCATGCAGAATTTCTGGTGATCTCACAAATGATCTGCTCTTCTTTGAGTTTACAGTTTTAATGCATACTTTGTCCTATTTTTTTCTTCCTTTCCTATCCTGATAATAGTTTCTGTTCACTATCATGTTTGATTTTCTTAGAATAAATTGTTTAAAACAATTACTTAATTTTGAACCTGAGTATTTATGACTACCAAATTTTAGACATTGCTAAACTGCTCAAATTTATCTTTGCTTTACTCTTTAGCATTTAGTTTGAAAACAAACACAAATGAGCTTTATTATTTTTAAGTTATTTAACCTACCATTTTGTGTGTAAACCCTCATAAATGTTTTTCTATCTTACATCAGAATGGAAAATGTGTCTTAAAACAAATGGGTCTGCCCTTCAGCAAGATATTTTTTGTTTAAAAACATCAAATGGGATACAACCGGTAAGATTAACAAAAGAAATTTCTTATTTTCTACATTCAAAATAGATTGGTATTACACTGCAGAAATCAGCACAAATGATAGATACTTGAGAGAAGTGGCATTTACCCTAGAGTGAGAATGTCTCCAGAGAGAGACCCTATACCTAGCATAAACCTGAATATTTCATTGTTCCCACAAACATATATATGTTTTCAACATATATAACTAGATATGCAACTTTCAAAATAATTTCATGAAAAGCTATACAACTTTTTTCAAGATTAGAATAGATTATACAGGATTTTTGCTGTAGAGTTTCTTTCTTTGAGTTGAAAGAAATTCAATTGGGTCGAATTTATTAAACTGTCTGATAAAATGCTTTATTCATTATTCATCATTCATTCCTTAATCAACAGGCAAGAAACCACAACGGAGGGGAACTCTATGACTATAAACAATGTGGAAATGTCTTCAGTGAACACTCATGCCTTAAGACACACATGAGTATTCAAAATGAGAACATTTCTGAATATAATCAGTATGGAGAAGACTTCCTTTCTCTGCACAAGGAAACCTCTACTAGAGGGAAACATTCTGTGTTTGATGAACGTGGAAAATCCTTCAGCCTGACTTTAAATGTTGAGTTCCAGAGAAAGTACACACAGGATAAATATTTTGAATGCAATGACTGTGGGAAAACTTTTGTTAATCAGTCACACATTCAGGCACACAGGAAAACTCACTATGGAGAAAAACTCTATGAATGTGAGCACTGTGGGAAAGTATTTCCTGACTCCATGACCTGTGCTGTGCATGTTGAAACACACATTGTAAAAAATACCTATGAATGTAAGGAATGTGGAAAAGGCTTTAGAAATCCTACCTATCTTGATAATCACATGCAAACACACACTGGAATGGAACCATACAAGTGTAAGGACTGTGGGAAAGTCTTCACCGTGCACTCAGACCTAACTAAACACATACAAACTCACACTGGAGAGAAGCCCTATGAGTGTAAGGAATGTGGTAAAGCCTTCCGTACATCCTCAGGCCTTATTGAACATATGAGATGTCATACAGGAGAGAGACCCTTTAAGTGTGACCAGTGTGAGAAAGCTTTTGTTTCTTTATCATCTCTTTTTGCACATCTGAGAACTCATGCTGGAGAGAAGTTCTTTGACTGTTACATGTGTGGGAAACTATTTACCTCTTCTTCTTATCTTCGAGTTCATATGCGAACTCACACGGGAGAGAGACCATATAGATGCAAGGAGTGTGGGAAAGCCTTCACTAAAAGCTCATACCTCACTAAGCATTTACGAATACACACTGGAGAGAAACCCTATGAATGTCAGAAATGTGGAAAAGCCTTCATTGAGCGTTCATACCTTACTAGACATATACGAACACACACTGGAGAGAAGCCCTATGAATGTAAAGAATGTGGGAAAGCTTTTGCTGTTTCCTCAAGCCTAACTGATCATGTAAGAATTCACACTGGTGAGAAACCCTATAAATGTGATGAATGTGGAAAAGCCTATAATAGGTGTGGTCTACTAACTCAACATTCAAAAACTCATACCACAGAGAAGACCTTTGAATGTAAGGCATGTGGAAAATCCTTCAGAAATTCTTCATGCCTTAACGATCACTTCCGAACTCACACTGAAATGAAACCCTATGAATGTAAGGAATGTGGAAAAACATTCACTTGGCGCTCAAGCCTTACTAAACATGTACGTATGCACAATAGCGAGAAGCCTTATGATGTGGGGAATGTGGGAAACTCTTCCATACAGGATGTATTTGGCATATGAGAGGTCACACAGGAGAAAAATGCTTTGAATGTAACCAATGTGGGAAAGCCTTTGCTTCCTTTTCATGTCATATTGCATATTTGAGAACTCGCACTGAAGAAATGCCTTATGTATGGAATGTGGTAAAACCTTCACTGTTTCCTCAAGCCTAACTGAACATGTAAGGATTCATAGTGGAGAGTAACCCTATAAATGTAAGGAATACAGAAAAGCATTCACTGGTTTTTCTCATCTTACTGAACATATAAAAACACACTACAGAGAAACCCTTTTTATGTAAGGAAGGAGGAAAATCGTTTAGACAGTCCATATGCCTTAATAATCACAGACTTACCCACACTGATGAGAATCATTACTAATGTAACCAATTTGTGAACATGTTCTGTTGTCCCTGTTCACTTTAAAGATATGAAAGACCAGTTTCTCTTTTTCTGGCTGTAACCATGGAGGGTGTCAAAGAGAAGAAAAAGAAGGTTCTTGCTGTGCCAGAAACCCTTTAAAAAGCGAAAGAATTTTGCAGAGCTGAAGATCAAGCATCTGAGAAGTGTGCTCAAAAGATGCTTTGTAAGACAAGGAGGAAGCTTATCTATGAAAAAGCTAAGCATTATAAAGAATACAGGCAAATGTACAGAACTGAGATTAGGATGGCAAAAAAAGTTGGCAACTTCTATGTACCTGCAGAACCCAAATTGGCATTTGTCATCAGGATCAGACATATCAGTGGTGTGAGTCCAAAGGTCTGAAAGGTGTTGCAGCTTCTTTGCCTTCGCCAGATCTTCAATGGAACTTTTGTTTAGCTCAACAAGGCTTCCATTAACATGCTGAGGATTGTAGAATCGTATATTGCATGGGAGTACCAAAACTGAAGTCAGTAAATGAGCTAATCTACAAGCGTAGTTATGGCAAAATCAATAAGAAACAAATTGCTTTGACTGATAACAGTGATGTATACTGTTGGGAAACGCTTCAAAGAAGCAAATAACTTCTTGTGGCTCTTAAAGATATCATCTCCATAGGGTGGAATGAAGAAAAAGAACAACCTATAGCAGCCCGTATAACCTATGGCTAGGAGGAGTGAGAATTATAGGAAATACCTATAACACTTTGGTGAATAAGGGCATAGAGAGAGATTTAGTTCTAACAAGCATGAGAGCTCACGAGATGAGAGCATTGGTGAATTGGCAGTCTCTACACCTGTGGTGTTGAGAAGCAGGAGCTCAGCCTTACATTAGGCTAGAGGAGAAGGCAGACAAAAAGCATGCGCATTATATCACAGACACGCTTACTCTGTCTCCTCTCCTGCCTGCAGAACACCAGCACAGCATCTCTCTACTGAAGATTACCAAGCTTTGCCAAAGACTAAGATATATCTGTTCTAAGAAGACTGCTTTACTCTAAGATTCTCTCTCTCTCTCTCTCTCTCCAGTTAAAGTAGATAGCCCTCAAGCACCTAAGAGAAACTGTTCCTGAGCAAGGTAGCTTAGCGGTCTGTGTCTGGAACCTACCTAAGCCAGTCCTGGGCCCTGACAAGTGGTGAGACCTGGCCAGTCCTGGGCCCTGACAAGTGGTGTCAGAAGCAGATCCTGACAACAACCCACTTTGTAGAAGGTGGAGATGCTGGTAACCAGGAAGACCAAATCAATAGGCCTGTTAGAAGAATGAACTAAGGTATCTGCCCTGATTGTTTTTGTAATCTGGTCAGTTAATAAACAGTGACTGCTTTCAAAAAAAAAAAAAAAATATATATATATATATATATATATATATGAAAGACCTCACTTTGAAGATACTCCATGAAGTTAAGGCATGTAGGAGAGCCATCAAAATCTGCTAACAGGGTGGCGCCAGTGGCTCGGTGGGTAGGGTGCGAACTTCAGATAACGAGGGTGGCGGGTTTGAACCCAGCCCCAGCCAAACTGCAACAAAAAATAGTCAGGCATTGTGGCAAGTGTCTGTAGTCCCAGCTACTTGGGAGGCTGAGGCAAGAGAATCACTTAAGCCCAAGAGTTTGAGATTGCTGTGAGCTGTGATGCTACAGTACTCTATCCAGGGCAACACAGACTCTGTCTCAAAAAAAAAAAAAAATATGCAAAATCTGCTAACAGCGCAGTACATAAGAATCAATCAATTTGAACAATGTTCAAATCATGAAAAGTTTTCCCTATTCCCTTGGGTATTATTAAATATGTGAGATCTTACAATGGAGATAAACCCTACTAATGTAAATTCCATGGAAAGATTCTAGGCCTACTAAATACTTTGACGTTCACCTGTAATCTCATAGTAGAGAAAAACTTAAAAGAAGGTAGGAAATGTTGGAAAGTATTTGTTTACATTGATAGCATTGTTTTTCAGCCTTTAGTACACATGAGGTGATTCACATTCAAGCTGTGGATGTATGGAATAGGTGAACTGCCTGACATCTGACAGAGATGTGGCCTTCTGTGTAGTTCTACAGAACAATTTTGAAAATTTGTGCAGTCCTGATATAAAATGTCTTTATTCTACAGCAGTGCCATTGTAGTCTATTTCCTATACCTTCTAGGCTACAAAGTAGCCCTTGAGGAATCTGACCAAAGCCCCTATCAGCAGTGTAGATTCTCTTTGTGGGTTGTCATGGTCTTAGACATGGTCTACCTATGGTGGCCCACACTGGCTGATGTGTGAGATATAATACAGCTCTAAATGTAAAGTAAATGCTCTTCTTCATCATTCACAACTGATCTTTTCAGATAAGATACTAAGTTAAAAGAAGGGGCTGAATGGAGAAAGAGTGAGGTAACAGGTAGTAGTCTGAGATACTGTGACCCTGGAGGGAAAGCCATTACTTACCCTGCACCTAGGGAGGTTGTGCTTACTGTAATATCAAGCAGTGCAGAGATGTGGTGGGAACCATAAATGTTCATTCCCTTTGACCCATATATCTACCACCACAGTTTAGCAATCATATTATATACCTGAGTCAATTAATTGCTGTGATTGGCAGTATGACCAGTTTCTGGGTTTTCAGTGCATCCTTGTACAATGAAAACAATCTCTGGTGAATGTGGCTGGTCATGATATTCTGCTGTATTTGACACCATTATTGGCCTTTTGGTCATACAGACCAGCATGACCAAGTTTCAGTCTGAGTGGTACAACTGTAAGTATTTCTGATGCTCCAGCAAAACAGCAATCTTGGATTATGTCATGTATGGCCCATTGAGGCTGTTACTGTTTGATGACTCTTTCTGTAGTCCTTAATCCAACCAATGTAATGATTATCAAATTAATTTTAAAAGTCCTAAATGGAAGAGATGGATACATTGGGGGGGGGCGGGGCTGGTTTTGAACACACCTCCAGTATATGGGGCTAGCGCCCTAATATGGGGCTGGCGCCCTACTCCTTGAGCCACAGGCACGGCCCAGGGTACATTTTTGTGTTATGTGTTTTCATGGAGAGGAGTGGGTTGTGGAGTGGTTGTCTTGTGAGTATGAGTGCTCCTGTTTAGCCCAGCTCCTGTGACCTTTAACTGTCACCAGTGACATAAATAATCATCATATTAGTCTGAACTGCCTCATGTGGACTGTATCAGCTTATTGACTGTTTTCAGATGCCACAGGTCTCTCTGAAACTTGCTCACAAGTTGCCTGAGTCTTTGTAGATAATGGGAGAGGTAAATGCTGGATTCATCTTAGTGCTTAGACTCATAGTGATGGTATCATGGAAGTCTCATAGCCCAGACATGTACGGCTTCATAAGCTGATTTTTTTTTCTTTCCTTTCTTTTCTCTCTTTCCTTTTTAATTTTAAAAGATTGAGGGAGTACAAGTGCTTTTTCTTACAAGGATGAATAGTATAGAAACTGATTTCTCGTTGTCAATATATAAGATGCAGTTGATCTTTATATGCTGAATTTTACTAGAAGCCCTACCAATCATTCTTTAAAAGTCTAGCTTTTATGTATTATTTTGTGTTTCTCACATACATAGCCATATCATCTGTAATCGACAGTTTTATTTTCATTTCTAACTTTAGATAATTTATGTCTTTTTCTTAATTTTCTGCCTAAACAAGACCACCTTTAGAAGTAGTAAAAGCAGCATACTTTTGCTAATCCTAATGGCATATACTTTCTGTCTTTACCCATTACTGTATTGGCTATAGATATTATTACTAGATCAAAGCTTTTGTCTACTTTTTATTGTTTGGGGGAGGCTTTCTCGTGAACGGCTCAATAACGTGCCTCAGAGGAGTAGGCAAAAAACATAAAAAAGAAAAAGAATTTATTAAATGCTTTCCTCTGATTCCTTTTATTTTTTACTTTTTTTAAAAAATTGAGACAGTTTTGTCACCCCCGGTAGAGTGCTGCGGTGTCATAGCTCACAGCAACTTCAAACTCTTGGGCTCAAGCTGTTCTCTTGCCTCAGCCTCCTGAGTAGCTGGGACTACAGGGCTTGCCACAATGCCCGGCTATTTTTTGTTTGTTTGTTTAGCTGGCCTGGGCCGGGCTCACCAGCCCTGGAGCATATGGCCAGCTCCCTAACCAATGAGGTATGGGTGCCCAGCCGCCTGATTCCTTTTAGATGATACATTTTCTAAGAAAATTCAAGTACCTAGAACTGCACCTGCCTATTAGAGGTACCTAATATGTGAACGCATGATTTATACCTGAATGTATTCTATACATCTATAGTGTATACATATTTCTAAACTAAGTATTACTAAGTAAATTGACATGAAACATTCTTTTGTTACTCTATGCTTTGTCTTTTATATGAAATAGGAGTATTTCCTCCTTTCGTAAACTCACACGGTATTTATATATATATGTCTATATATTATATATATAAATAGACATAAATATATATAGACATATATATATATTTTATGTCAGTCAGAATTCACTGGCAAAATCATCTAGATTGTTACCAGTGTTACTGGATTTACTCATGTTTTGGAATGATTTCAAAGCATGGATTCAGTTGTTTTTATATTGTAGGGACTAGAAAGTTTCCAATTTCATCTTAAATCAGTTTTGATGAGTTTCGTTTCTGCAAGCATTTTTGTATCTTTAAATTTTATAGTCAAAGTTTATATTTTCTGGTATTTTAAGTTATATGTGGCTTCAGCCATTATGTACCTTTTATATTCCCCTTTTCATCCCTAGTACCACTTCTTTGTGTCTTTATAAAAACATCCTAATATTGGCCAGGCTCAGTGGCTCATGCCTGTAATCCTAG